AAAGTCATGCTACTTATATATAAATACATTGGTATTTCTTATTATTTCATATAGGAAGTAGGTAAAAGTGTAGAAGAGTACTGTCATAACCAGAACATGTATATACTGAAACTAAACATGGGTGTATGTCAGCGATATAATTATGAAATAATGGTCCCGAATAGGACAAATAAGCGATATTTATGCTAGTGCGGTTATCCTGCGGCTAACCATGGCTAACCATAGCCAAATCTGCAAATTACGGGTTTGGCTATAGTTAGGAAACTTGATAACCGCAGCCGCAAATTACGGCTGCGGTTAGCAAAGTAGTAACCGCAAGTGCGGTTTTGCCGCAGTCTACTCCCGGTGTCTGATTGGCCTCGGGCCGGGCCGAAGGTATGTCTCCACCCTGTTCCATGTCGTGCGTGGTTTTAAACCAAAATATCAAGAATTTGGGGAGTTACAGTTGATCAAATCTATGAGCGTACCTCAAAGTACTTTGGAATAGACTATCAAGCGGAACTGCTAGTGGTGATATTCATTAATAATACTTGCCGCTGCTGTGCAGCCAGCTGCGGGGTATTGCGCGTCTTCTTTGTACTCTGCAACGTCTTAGACATCTCTCAACTGCTCTTTTCTTCACCTCCCAGGTCGTTCTTCAACATCCCATCGCTAGGCCTGGGTCGATATCTCTGCCTCTCGTTGCGAGGCGTAGTCTTTGCTACGCAACGTAGAGAGCCCGCGTCTATCGACAACTTTACAGCTGCCGCCTATAATCGTCAAAATGGAGGTTTTTATGCGCAACCTTCCAATCGATTTGACTGAAGATGGGTTATATACCCAGCTCGAGCCGTTTATGAAGCGACTCCACATAGTTGACTTTCTCTGCGAGAAACCCAAGAAAAAGAGCATTGGGAATGTGACTTTCCTGAATAGGCGGGATGGCGAAAGATTTCTGGAAATACATGGACAACGCAGTGCTCAGACTCCCTTTCGACCTTATGCACCTGCTCCCGCAAAGTCCAATTTAAGGCTGACCGGAAACGATATTTTCTGTACACTGAGTAAGCGTCAACCGCAAGAATTTACCATCAAAACACTTGCGCATGCTGTGCAGGAGAGAGCGAATTCTCAGTATACAATTGAGGAAGAAAGCTCAGCAGTCTTGTTTTCTTTGTCAAGTTTTAGCTGCGGGTACTACACGTTCATCAACGGGCAACTTGGATACGTCCCAGAAGTTGAATGGAACAACCGTGGGACGGTGAAGTTTACAAAGAGAAATGTCGTCGTCAATGTGGACAGCGGCCAGTTGGTTAGAATCCCGCTCAACAGTATTGTAGAGCTTGTTTGGTTCAGTAATGGGTTGCTGACACTGACGTTGTCCACTGTGCCGCTTTTCTTCGAAGCAACTAATGGCATCCATACCCTTCTCTCCGCTGTGTTGAGCCTCGCCCTCGATCAAGGCGATGTGAATGGCAATCGACCTCGGGAATCAACTCGCACCCGAATCTGTTCCCTAGGCAAGGAGCACGCCGAGCTCGCTGGGCAATGCCTCGTTTACCAATTTAATGTGTCCCCTTCAGCTTTGGGGCAGAAAATCGAGGAACTCAAGCAGCGCGAAATTGTCGTAACACAGTACGATGTTACTGTTCCACGAGCCTTGTTATTCAACACAGCAGGGTTCACGCATCAAATGAGATCCCTGAAAGTGGAACTTGCGAAGTATACTACAGACCGATCTGTTCCATTTGAGTTGTTATTCCATATACAGGCCTTGGCCTACAATGCCTACCTTCTTCCATCCACAGCTCTGGAACTGGCCAGGAAACTGCGACAAGAAATTAAAGTGAGAAGGAGCAAGTGGCTGTCAGCTGTGTCTCCTGACGCAATGAAGAAACTATTTGACACGATCGACTGGCCTTCGCCATACGGAGACCCGGCGGAGTTCGAAGTAGGCTATCTCCTTCAGGCGATCAAACAAAATGAAGAAGAAGTTAAGCAGGGGCTATTCCATGGAGACCGTGTTTTTAGCCCAAATCAGAATCTCGCTCGAATTTTTCGGGTGACAGTGACCCCATCACGCATTACCTTGCATGGCCCAGAGATGGAGCCCAACAACCGCATTCTAAGGAAGTTTCCCAACCATCACGAATACTTTATTCGGGTGCAATTCTGTGATGAAAATGGGCAGGATCTTCATTTTAGTCCTCAGGTCGACAATGCCAATGCCTTCGCTCGGTACAAACACGTCTTGAAGCGCGGGATCGAAATAGCGGGACGAACTTACTCATTCTTGGGCTTCTCGCACTCTTCCCTCAGGGCTTATTCAGTCTGGGTATGTTGATTTTTATTCGTCACAGGTGCCTTGCGCTGACTACATCGTTATGGTTAGTTCTCTGCTCCGTTTTTTGACGACAGTGGTGACTTGCAGACATGTTTCACAATCATTAAAGCTCTCGGTAATTTCTCCAAAATAACATCACCCGCCCGATGCGCTGCAAGAATTGGTCAGGCATTCTCTGAAACCCCTTTCGATGTTGACATCAAGAAGAACAAGATGGTAGTTTGTCACATACCAGATGTCAAGTCGCCAGATGGTGCGCGTATTTTCAGCGATGGCGTCGGGGCCGTTTCTCTAAACGTCGTCGAAACCATCTGGGACAACCTTCCACGTTCGAAGGGTTTCCCGACATGTTTTCAGATTCGTTTGGGGGGCGCCAAAGGGATGCTCGCTGTCGACAGTCGACTTGATGGCTCGATTATTGCACTTCGCCCGTCAATGGTCAAATTTGCCAGCGAGGATCTACAAACACTGGAAATATGCGATGTTGGATCACAGCCAATCCCTTTGGTTCTCAACCGTCAAATGATTAAGATCATGGAGGACATGGGTGTCTCGAAGGATTGGTTTTTCAAATTACAGAACATTCAAGTGTCCCTGCTCCGAGGAGTCACCACGAGCATCCAGAGCACGGAGAAATATTTGAAAGGACAGAATATTAGCAAGTCACTACGCCTCCATAAACTCTTTCGACAATTTGGTGCTTCTGGTATTGACTACACAAATGACCGATTTCTTCGTTCCGTTGTGGAGGCTCTTGTTTTTCGCGAGCTTCGCTTGCTCAAGCACAAGGCTCGAATTCCAGTCGAAAAGGGTGTCACACTTTTTGGCATCATGGATGAGACGGGTTTCCTACAAGAGAAGGAAGTTTTTGTCACGTATGAAACGACCAAGGCCCAGTTTACACCTCCTCCTGGGCCGGGTCCACTTGTTGTCACTCGATCGCCCGCTCTATTCGATGGTGACATTCAAATTGCTCACAATATCATTCCGCCTCGCGATCATCCCTTGGCGCAACATCGGAATTGCATTGTTTTCAGTCAAAAAGGCTCGCGAGACTTGCCAAGTCAATTGAGTGGTGGCGACCTCGATGGCGATATCTTTAACATCATTTGGGATCCCGAAGCTTCTCCAGCCGTGACATATCCGCCAGCTGACTACCCTCGCGTGTCGCCAGTTGATATTGGTCGCGTTGTCACCAAAGATGATATGGCAGACTTCTTTATTAACTTCATGGAGACTGACCGTCTAGGAGTGATTGCCACCAGACATTTGATCATGGCGGACCAGTTGACGGAGGGATCTTGTCACCCAGAATGCAAGCGGTTGGCACAGCTGCATTCAATGGCTGTTGATTTCTCCAAGACAGGGATCCCAGTGAAGATGGAAGACCTCCCGAAGATGACATCCCGATATCGTCCGGATTTGTAAGTTTGTTGCAATCTTTTGGTACTAAGTCGGATTGTGCTGAAATAATCAATATGACAGTTTGGCTCCAGGGCCGCAGGTCCACATTTACGATAAATCCGATATTCATCTTGACACTCATATTCTCCAAGCCAATCAAAATGAGGACGAGGGGCTAGGCCCAGCTTATAAATACTACAAATCGGAAAAGATCCTTGGGAAATTATACAGAGCCATAGACGAGCGACAAATATGGTCTGAGGATGTGAAGCTGAGCAGTAAAAATCCGTTCTGGGGTGAATTCATGGAAGCTATGATTCAGAAATGTTCTGCCTTTGGTCCAATACATTGGATCTATCGTATCGACGAAGCACGACTCATACGAAAAGCGTAAACAATCCAAGACCCTTTCTTGCCGAGCTTCTAAACTCATTTTATAACAGATATGAGAATGCCATTCTTTCCGCGATGAATGACTTTTCAGAACATCCAATCTATCCCATCAGTGAGCTCGAGGTCTTCATCGGCCACATCCTCAACAAATCTGGCGTACAGACTCACCGACAACGAGCGCGATCCATCAAACTGTCGGATGAATTTGATCGAATCGTAACATGGGTCATGAGCCAAATGCGTCCTTACGGCAACCAGCCAATTCCATTGACCGGCTATGAGACTGAACATGACGCGTTGGCATTATGTCTCGCCTGTCTTTATATTGCGGGTGAAAAGGACGAGTCAGCAAGGATACGACGCCGCAAAGATTGGTATGGAGGACTGCAAAGTTTCCGGGTTGTTTCTGCTTGTGCGTTGCTCGCAGAGCTCGAGTTATTTGAAAAGAATTAAATTGGGGGAGGTCATGTTGATGTTGTTTCTACGCAATGTATGGGAATATTCAAGTCTGGATAGTTGTATTATTTGGATGTATCATAGAAGAACAGGCATAATGAAGACTATAAGCGTGCTGTTCAATTGAATTGAACCCTAGTTATTCACGTCTCCTACAAGAGCCAAGTCCTGAATGGCAGCCAGCCCATACTGAGCAACGGCGTTTGTGGATATCCATGTAGCCTCCTCAATAGGAATCAGCACAGCGCTGCCGTTTACCTTCACCGCAACCCATGGATCATCCTCCGTCAGACCGTCAGAGCCATCGATATCACCGTAGAATTCGTCCCATGCGCGTTGTGCCACAGTTGAATTGTTGTTGTCTTGCTGCGCGTAATACGCTGTCAACCGCGAGTGGCCTTGTACCAATGTAGTCTTAGTGAACGCCTCCCCATAGCGCGCTTTTTGTTCATCTGCTGTTGCACCGTAATAATAGCAATAATCCAGCCAGGCGCTTCGTAGACCCTGAGGAGCATCACCACCCCAGTACTCGAGCAACTCTGAAAGTACCTCCGGCAAGCCAAACACCGCATTCAAATGGGAGATGGACACAATGCCCGTGTTATTCGGATCACTTGGCGGGGGAAGCAACGTGCCATTGGTAATAGCGTATAGGCCTGACCCTGTGACGAAGCCATTCTTCAGGTTTGCGATGCCTCCCCCAGTACCGGTCAACTTTCTTTTCGCTTCCAACCACCGAGGCCCGCGGCGCTCCCATTCAAGAAGCCAGCCAGCCGCAAGACCGGCCCAGTCAGTACCGAGAGATATGGCAGTGGGTTTATTGGGCTCGGGGATCCAGCCATCATCGCGGACTTTCCTCTGTGGATCCAAGGTGCCGTATGTTTTATCCGTATCTAGAGCCTCATCCAGTAGCTCCCCGACTCGCTCATCGCCCCCGGATAAATAGTAGAAGTACTTCCGGTACTGGGGCTGAGCAATACGAACCTGCTTCGCGCTGTCGCCAAAATGCTGCACTCCGTGTCGGGTTCCTAAGCCCTTCCAGTCGCCAATATGGTAAACGTCTACTTCACCGGTGTGGCGTGTCAGCGCCTCTGCGAGCCGGTAGACATCCGCGCGGCCGCTCCGCAGAAAATACTGCCAGAGAAAGAGGTCGGGAGACAGCTCCGAGTTGTCCCAGGCATATCCGCCAATATCGTATCGCCAAATATGTCTATCCTCGTCGTAGGTGTGCATGAAATCGCCGTAATTCAGGAAGCCGTACCATCGACGATAGTCGACTTGCCCTTGGTAGAATTTTACCAGGAAGTCGAGATGGCTCTCGAGTGCCGCGGACTTGCTGTTGTTGTTGCTATTTTCGGAGACGTCAGGGACGGACCAGTAAGATCCGATTGCCTTCGTCTCTCGGATGTACCGTGGTTCTGCTGCTAGGACGGGTGGTTCATTGGCGTGCTTGCTTAACTTTGCTAGCGTATCAGCGGAGGGAGTCTGATCGAATGCATATAGAAAGATCTCGCTAGTCCTTGCTATTCCGTATGGCGTGTTAAAACCGGGCTCGTAGTCTTCATAGGTGATCTCTAGTGCTTCCAGCTGCTTGGCGTATGTGTCTTCTCCCGACTCATCATGGTATGCTCTGAGATCTAGGGGAACGGCTTCAGGACTGTATAACCAGATTGTGAGAGATCCTTGATCGGATGCGGCGCTTGAGATGTCGATGCTAGTGGGATATCTCTTCCAGAAGTCACGCAGACCAACTGCTAATCCACCTTTGGTGGCACCACCCAGATAAGTAAGCCCGTGAGAGCGCGTTCCCCCGGGAATATCAATCCATCCTTGTCCGGGCTTTGTTCGTTTTTTTATAGTGAAGCCGTCGGGGGATAATTGGCTCAGTTTGTAGTCGTTCCACGCAGGGATGTACTGGATGCCAGAAGTAATGCTCTCGTCCCAAGTACTTAGCTCCGGTGTCTCCCTTCCGTCGAATTGAGATAAACGGACTTCTTCGCCTGGGTCGCGCCGCAGACCCGTGATACCTTGGACAGCCTCATGAAGAAAACCCCCGTTGACTCCTGGTAGTCTGATATGACGATTGTATAATTCTTCGCCGGCCAAGGGAACACCAAACTGAATTCCCAACCCACTGACAAAGTCACTGTCCGCCTTTCCGTCAAACACAATGCTGTGGACGATCCTGATGGAATCCGAGTTGGTGTATAGATAAAAGCGCAAGGTGAATTGAAGCCAGTCGTCGTGGTCGCCTCCACTTGTGACCTTGTGCTTTCCTTTGACAGTGACCACAGCACGGACAGAAGTGTCGTTATTTACAGAAACCTGCTGGATATTGCTGTCGAAGTTAAAGTAATCGATAGAAGTGTTGGTCCGGGCCGCAACGTCCTCCGCAACTCCCGATTGGGAGTGGAGAACCAATTTTCCATTTTCACCGACGACCTGTCCACTAGAAGTCCTAATAGAGCCTATTATCGAGTTTCCTTGCTTAGGAAAGGAGACTGCGATTCTGCCAGTGTCAACACTGACTTCGTCCGCTGTATCGGCAACTTTCACACCAGTCGAAGTACTTGAGTTGGTTGTATGCTTGCTTTGTGCGAATGATGAAGCCCTGATAGTATACTCTGAGCTGACATTATCAAGCGGTGGAATAGCATGCCCAGTCCATTTGATAGAGCCGTCGCGCCAGTAACCGGTCACCCAAGACTGCAGTGGGATCTGTTCACTTGGTTTTCCAACGATGCTGAACAGAGTGTCGTTGAACTTGTATTTCCCCTGCGGCCATGGGAGTCCGAAAGTCGTCCCCGAGGTATACTCGGGACGTTCGCCGACCCAATGTACCTTGACAGTATCGGGAGTGTGGTTCGTTGGTCTGGACAACACCTCATTGACGAGGGACCCAAAGGTAAGCCAAAGAAGTGACTGCCGCATGCTCAAGTTCATCAATTAATGAACTCGATAACTTCAAAGCATACAGAGCTAGGCATTATTTCAATGGAGTGATACGGTTACCCAGTCCCTTTATATAGAGCAAGTCTCATATTCCAGCGCATTCTAGAGAGGGGAAATCCAGCAGCGCTGCACCAGGTTGCCGTACAATGGTATCAACGGCTATGGTATCATCATAGGCTAAAATGGGCCAGCTTAATTTACTTCGGTGAAATAGCTGGCGAGAGCCTTTAAATTGAAAGTCCATATTAACAAGTCAGGTGTCACGCAAAGTTGGGGTCAAGTGGCATTATTAGTGGCCGTATCGGAGCAAGTAAGAACGGCTAATTCACAACGACTAAATCATCAGTCGGACGTTGCCGCTTCTCCGGTTAAATGAATATTAATTTCTCAGACTCTATAGTAGTTGGAACGGATAATATTCCTATCTAAGCTAGGGAGTCTTAGCAAGAACTGGACAAATGCGGAATCTACCTGTACGTAACTGCGATATATGTTGGAGTTCTCACATGTAGTATTCGCTATAGAAATGTTCTCAGATACTCCCCCAATGCCATAATAGCCATCGCTTGTCCATATGGCATAGCCGTGAGGGAAATTGCCTTGTAAAAATCAAGAGAGTCTCCCATTCCCGTTCCGAAGCTTGTATTCTGTAACTCCCCGTTTGCATCTACAGCCCCAAGTACAGCGCTAATCGCCTTCTCGCCTACGCCCCTATACGCTGGCGGTAAGTACCTCTTTCGTACAGCCTTGAGAATCCCGTACGCAAACCCAGCGGTTGCAGATGCCTCGACGTACGAGTCAGGATGGTCGAGGAGCGTATGCCAGTACCCAGAGTCCTCCTGAAGTCGCTCAAGAGCCTCGCACTGCGCATATAGAGTATCAATCAGATGTACGCGAAGCGGATCCGTGGAAGGCAGGTCCAATAACTCGATAAACTCCGGAATGACCATAGTCACCCAGCAATTCCCGCGTGCCCAGCGAGCAGAAGCGAAATTATGCCCGCCATCTTCAAAGGTCCATCCGTGATAAAATAGACCAGATCGTGTGTCGAAAAGGTATTTGATATGCACAAGGAACTGCCGCTTCGCCTCGTCGATGTATTCCGGACGGTTTAGTAACTTCCCAATCTTGGCGAGAGGTAGCACTGTCATCATCAAGGTATCATCCCACAACTGTTGATGGTTGTCGGTCAAGTAGGTGGCATGCTGAAAGCCACCATAGCGCGTGCGCGGGAGATCATGCATCGCCCAGTCGGCCCATGCCTCTAGCCAGGGACGGTACGTGATATTCCCTGTTTTCTCGTAGACGTAGGCCAGGGTTAAGAAGACAGCCATCGTATTTATATTCTTGGTGGTACCACCCTCCGTAAACCGGGCAGAAAACCAGTCTTCAATGATTCGTATGTAGTTTTCGTCGCCAGTAACTTCATGATACTTCCATAGGCCATAGAGACCAATGCCGTGTGTCCATTCCCAACCATGCCATGATTTAGTATCGATGATGCGAGAGTCAGGCAGGTGTAAGAGAAATTCGCCGGTAGTGTCATGAATATTTATGAGGTTTGTTATGAGGCGGTTAACGGTGGTGTGGATGTGAGTGGCTGGTTCCGGCATGGACGACATTGTATCTGATATACCCAGATAATAATTAAAGAATCTGTATTTAACTTCATAACTAATATTTACGACCGCTCCTACATATATCCCGGCTATGTTAATGAAGACACAGAAGGCCTTCCCCGCATTCGGTACAATTCGAGCCCGAGGGTCCTCTTGATTGGTGCAAGGGAAGAATTCCGGGGTATCTTCTCCCGCTGTGGGGATGTCAGATCTGAAATCCGGGGTAGCAGGACTATACGGCTAATATACAGGGTGCAATGCACACTGGCTAAGACACAAATCAGGTGGCAATGTGGTGCTTGGCTTCTCTGGTGCATAAAAGGACTCTTTCCCGTATGCGTTTGCTCCCTTGTTCCTTCAGTACTGTCATCTCCTAATAGTGTAACTTTCTCGTGGCAGATGCTGCACTACATTCCACCATGGACAAACAAGAAACCTCCCACATCGAACGAACACTATCTCCCAGAGACAAACTCTCGCAACTCGATGCCGTCAAGGACCCCTCCTATGTCGATGAAGAAGTCCAAGCATATGCCTCCCAGGGCCATATTGAAATCGATGACTCCACCAGTCGCAGGCTCCGTGTGATGATCGACCGCCGCGTGCTAGTTATCATGATAGTGACATACTTCCTACAAGCTCTAGACAAAGGCACCATGTCTTTTGCGTCGATTATGGGTATCCGCGAAGACACAGGCCTAGAGGGACAACAATACTCCTGGCTGACAACTTGTATTTATATCGCCGTACTGATTGTCGAGTACCCGACCAACTGGGTGATTCAGCGAGTGCCTCTAGCCAAGTATCTCGGGGCGAACGTGTGCATTTGGGGCGCAATATTAGCCTTACATGCGGCTTGCCATAACTTCACGGGCTTGGTTGTAGTCCGAACGTTATTGGGGATCTTTGAGGCATGTTGCCAACCCATCTTTGTGCTTTGCTCAGGAATGTGGTATAAACGTGAGGAACAGGCGGCCACGGTGACTTATTGGTGCGCCCGGCGTATCCATCCTGCTCTCCATATAGGGCTAACTCCTACAGGTACATGATGAACGGTGGGCAACAGATCGTCGGTGGCCTACTAGCCTATTGCTTCAGTCTCATCGGCAAAGATCGCGCCATCCGATCATGGCAAGCCCTTTTCCTGACATACGGCTGCATATCTTTCCTCTGGGGCATATTCGTTATCTACTGGATGCCTGACTCACCGATGCGCGCAAAGTGTTTCTCTGAAAGCGACAAGCGACTCATGGTTGAGCGAGTCCGGTCAAACCAGACAGGCCTTCAGAACAAATCGTTCCGATCATACCAGATGTGGGAAGCATTTCGCGACCCGCAAACTTGGTGTTACTGTGCCATTCAAGTGTTCACGACCCTGCCAACAAGTGGATTGGGAGCTTTCGCGAACATAGTGATCAAAGGGTTTGACTTCACTGAATTACAGACACAGTTGTTGGCTATGGTTTTGGGGTTTTACATTATCATCGTCCTGCTGTCGTCGGCGTGGCTCGTCAAGAAAACGGGGCAGAACCTACTAGTTATGCTAGGATTCATTATACCGTATGGCTTCCCTTTCAGATTCCAAGCGTGCTCAGACTAAAAGGAACAGATCATTTATCGGAACAATCGTCCTCATGACCGTTGACAACACCACAACAGCTACCAAAGCAGGTCTCCTCATCAGCTACTATATCACCCTCTCCTTCTGGTCCGCGCAGACCCTCGCCCTCTCCATGATATCACGGAATATAGCTGGTGCTACAAAGAAGTCCACCGTTGTCGCGGCCACCTTTATCTCCTGGGCTGCTGGGAATGCAATCGGTAGACTCAATCTCTAGCTCGTTACTTTCTTCGATACTAACTAGGACAGGCCCCCAAGTATTCCTGGAGAAGGACGCCCCAAAATACTTCATTGCCTTCGGGGTGCATTTAGGCTGCTACTCTGTTATGACTATGTGCGTAATCTTCCTTCGGTTTTATCTAAAGAGACAGAATAAGAAGAAGGATGAAATCTTGCGAGCGCAAGGGGTGGATAACGCAGATCCAGATCTAGTGTATGCGTTTGAAGACAAGACGGATCGTGAAAATTTGAATTTTCGGTATATGTATTGATCAGATGTTGAAAGGGTTCCTCTTACCGATAGGGTTGATCAGCACAGAAGAACAATGTAATAAGAATACAATTCCAGATTGAGTTGACGTATCGATGTAGCGGTTAATCTCGCCAAAGATGCTTCGAGGCAGTGAGGACTCTCTTTCGTACACGGTGTGAGGCATAATTCTTTTAGCCAGGGACTAAAATTAACAGGTTGTTTATCAATTTGATGCTTGTATTGTCTACATCAAACTTGAGAACTGGTCGTCCGAAGGTGTGCAGAAGTCAAAGCTCAGACCAAATGGAGCCTCCAATGAGTCAAGGTTCATTAATGGGTCGTCTGCTTGTGAAAAGTTCGTGTTGGTTGATAGAGTAGCGGGACGTGCCGTCAATGACAATATCTCCCGGGCAATGGTGCCAATCTCTCGGTAGGTACGCTTTCCGAGAGCCCAGTGCTCGCTAAGACGTTTCAATGTGCCCATGGTTAGGCGAATCTTCTCACGGCTGGTGACCAACCTTTCGCCTTGAAGAATGTATCGACAAGCTGAGAGGTGTGCAATGGTGACGTTGGCAATCATGCAGATCAGGAATGGGGAGTGAGCGTTGAGATTGGTTGGAAGTGTAAGGAGGTGGTCAACATTCTCAATAGCTGATAGGCATTTGACTGTGTGCAGTTCTGATGCTGCCTTGCCAGAACACTGTAGATGTTCGGATGGAGCTAACGGGGCGCATCGTGACACCGCTTCAATGGGACTATATTCCAACGTAGACAGTGGGCGATGGATCTCAACAGTGTACCTAGATGCTAATTCAGATTGTTGATGTATTGAAAGAATGCAAGATAATAGAACCGTACGTATGCATGATAAATAGGGCTTTGAACATGATTTCGTCCACAGAACCGTCGCTGCGGATCAAACGCCGTTTCGAGATAGGAAGAAGGGCGTGCCACGCTCTGACACTCGTGTCGGCATTTGCACACATCGATTTGTATAACTGTATGTCTGCGGTACTTCCGGGAAGCAAAGCGCGTTCAATTCCTCGCGTCAAGCCGATGAGTTCTGCGTATGATGAGAACTGCAATTCATCGTCAGCAGAAAATTCACGGTTGTCGTAATCTTTGATACTTTTTGCCGGCGGTATGTTCTGGTAAAGTTAGCAGTCAAGATGGTACATATAGTATGATATCATTACCCCCATGTGATATTCTTGCTCCTCGCAAGGGAGATCAACCGTGATATTAATATTGCTTGTCCGGAATGGAAAAGTATGGGTACTGCCGGCAATGTGTGCATCCGTAACATAGAACAACCACCAGGTGCGCCGCCAGCTTTCCTCAAGAACGGGGTTGTTCTGTCCATGAAGCACAGCAAATTCTTTTCTGTTCATTCCAAGTCTCAAGCCCAGCTGGATTGCCTCGTCGAGCAACGCGGTGCCGTGCTCCGCCTTGTTACACCAATATACGGCGATTGAATAAAGGAGCATTGCTTGCACATCGAATCCAGTGGCGATACGGCTTCCCGCTCGAATCTCCATCAATGCAACCGAGATGTTCTTCTGCAATTCGACCGATACTGATTCTGAGAATAATGAACCAATATAACAAATCACCCACACAAGCAGACGAAGTGCGTCTTCTGTAAGATGTTCGTCCAGATGGAGGCGAGGGAGAACACACGGATGAGCTGCATGGAAGAACTCATAGTATAGATCCAAAAGAGTTGGGTTGACGTCCCAGGCCGAACCGGACAAAAGTGAACTAATAGTATTGGGAGGCGCCTGAAGAGCAGGTCGTAAGCAGCTCTCCTTACCCATAATCGGTGAGGCCAATCGAGCGTGTCGTTGTCTTTGCTTTCCGCGGCGGCGCGAAAGAGGATAGATGCACTCCCTCGCACTTGCAATACAGCGGGAGCATGCTGGCTTCTGGCCGTCACAGCGGTGGTGCTTGTAGCGACACGCCGCACAAGCAACAGAAGACCGGCAAATAGGCCTCATCGATGGACTGCTGGCTTCAATGGAATCAACCATGGCGTTCAAATTTCTATGCTAGGGAATCATGGATTTTCAGAGTGTAGAAATGGAGGAATGGCGCAATCGACGAGGAAAAACTGGGTCGGCGTAAGGCATTATTTTCTTGCCTGAGGCAGAAATAATCTCTTGCTATGAGTTACAAGTGCTAACATTTGGCTCGTTTTATTAAGATATGCACAAATAGTGAACTAAGTCAACATTTTATTGCCAATTAATTGGTCCATATCTCTGTATCCCGAAGAACTCTTTAAGGTTACTGTACTATTTCTCATGCAAGCGTAGGACCAGCACTGTCCGGGTCCGCAGCAGCAAATGCTTCGGCACGATCTGCTTTGGGGGGATATATCACAACTTGGTTGATATTCTCCTTGATAGTCTTCGCAGCAGAGCCAGTTAACTGTACTTGGCGGTCCCATCCCTGGGTGATAACCGCGCCCCAAGGGCCTAAATCTAAACAGGTTCCATACGCGGGTTGTGCATATGGCTTTGGGGCAAGGGCAAGCAAATCAGATGCTGCATTGTGCCCAGCAAAGCGACCAAGACGCATGGCATGCTGGCAGGACATCAACGCATGATGGCCCTGATCGTCGGCAATAGCCAAGGCTGCGTCGCCCGTCACATATATGTCTGGAACAGAAGGAACGCGCAGGTCGGAAGAAACGTGCAAACGGCCGCTCCGGTCTCTCTGTCCGGGAACTTGTTGTGTCAGTGCGCTCGCTTCCACGCCCCCAGTCCAAATGACAGTCAGCGAGTCGATTCGCTCGCCACGGCTAGTCACCACCCCGGTTTTGTCCACCGATACTACTGCCGCGCCCAGTTTATATTCCACTCCCAGACCCGCCAGCGCTTCGAGTATGACTGGCCGCGGACCAGGCCCCAGTTCCGGTCCGATGGCATCCGCTTGTTCGATGATCACAACTCGCACGTCCTCTGATCGGAGAATGGAGCGAAGTCGCGACGGCATCTCCGCGGCGATCTCGATTCCAGTAAAACCACCGCCGACGATAACAATCGTGTTCCGCGCAGGATGAGGGGGTTCGAATGCGAGATGGTTCAAATGCTTGTCGAGGTTGGCAGCTTCGTCGCGCTGGTCAATACTGAATGCATGCTCGTGAATGTCGGGAATATTGGGGCGTTTCAAGTGGCTTCCGGCAGCCAGGACGAGCCGGTCGTAGTCAAGGGCAGAGTGAATGCCCATCATATCGATAATTGTCGCTCGTTTCTGTGCCGTATCAATCGTATCAACCATTCCCGGAACAAATTGGATACCCGTCACGCGGAAAAGTTCCTCGAGCGAGACACACATCTTGTCGGCATCCGATTCATACAACCGTGGACGAATGACCAAGGTCGGCTCGGGAGATATGACAATCACTCTGATCCCACTCGCCTCGCTTCCCCCATTCTGCTCGATGAGTCGCATCGCAGACAAGGCGCTCCACATGCCGGCGAAGCCTGTTCCAACAATGAGTATCGTTTGCATTTCGATCTGTAACTTGATTTCGAGCCTGTTGATATCGCCGAAGAAGGATAAGCCAGTCTGTTATAATATCATAAATGATGGGCCATCGGATCTTTTAAATATGATACTGCAAGCATCAATAGCATTGGTTTGGTACGTTCTAGCCTCAGCTAACACAGAAATTGCTCCACAAACCGGTCAGCATAGGCTATAGTGCATCACAATTCTCGGACTCAAAAATACACCATTGCAGACACTGGATGGATCCTATTCTGTCCTCCGGCCGGCATAGAGCACCCGGGCAATGATGTGATCAAAACATGCACGGATAAACCCGGCCATGTTACATTTCCAACGCGCACGAGGCGAACGGTGAGCTTAGTAGGATTTGTTCAAGTCCGACAGATAGCCTAACGAGGTACAATAGGCTATCAGGTGGGTCGGGTTATACCTGCGCCAATGATAATGCGCACGGAAGCCCAACACGCGGGATTCGGAGATCGTACATTTCGGGATTGAGATCCTCTGGCGTCAACTGTTGCAAAAAGCCGGGAACACAGGAGCATGGCAGTATGTCTGAACGGATACATAAGAGTAGCTCACTGTCTCAAGTGCAGTTACTGCTGACTCCATCTTGCTGGAATATAGTATAAGATCGAACTGGAACTCTGAAACAAGATATATATACTTGACAATGTGTGAGCCACTTTACGACCCGCGGTATGAATTATTCATCTCCAGTTGGTACAGGAAAGTCTGATAGACTAATGTTCGAGTCTTTCTAGTCGCCCGATGCCTACCCTCAATGTCACATCGCAATACCGTTTAGCAAACTGTCCCGGCAAGAGCATTATCGGGTTGCTTGTCAGTTTCCCCCCGAATGGCTCAACTCCCCCACATCGACATGGCGGCGCATCTGTGTCTGCATATGTCATCAGCGGGACGCTGTTGAACAAGATGAACGACGATCCAATGAGAGTAATCGAAACGGGAGGTTCCTGGTACGAAGCTCCGGGATGTCATCATCGCATCAGCGATAACGCAAGCAAGACCGAACCGGCTACCTTGTTTGCGTCCATGATTCTCGATACAGAGGTGTATGAGCGGGATGGGATGGCGGCGTTGATACAGATTGACGAAGAATACAGAGCATAAAATTGGAAGGCTGTTCTATTCTAGCCCAGGCCTATTACCTGGTTGCCGAATGTTGCTATGCTACCTTCCAGCTCACCCCGAATGTACGGGTCAATATTTCTTGGAAGCTTTCATTGCTCTTTCTATAATCTCTACTATGACGCAAAAATCTGAACGTTGAACATTATACGACCGGAAATTCCCCTCCTTTCTCCCCGTTTGCTGAACCCACATAGAGATGTACTTGGGGTCTCCGCAAAGCCCCACAAACGCCGCCGAAACAATGCCTTTGGGCGGACTGGAGTAGATGAAGCAGTAGAGAATAAAACAAATTTCACAGTGTACACCCTTGGAAACTCTAGCCAGCAACTGCAACCAGAACTCACTATGGCGCTTCCACAAATTCACCACAGCTCCCTCCAGACTACGTTTACCGGTACCTCTCAGACCAACGATGGCACCACGGTCAATTCATTCAGAGGCATCCCGTACGCCACTATTCCGGCTCGCTTCGAGCGCTCGCAGCTGATGCAGAAGTTCGACGAACCTGCGGTCGATGCGACGCGATATGGGTACGGTTGTATCTCTCAATTCGAAATTGGATGCGGAACTGACCATATATTCTTAGACCACGATGTCCACAAATGAAGATAGACGTGCGCCATTTGCTACGCATCCCAGAAGACATCGAAATTCCAGAAGAGGATGAGGATGAGTTCAAATGCTTGAATTTAGAAATCACCTGCCCTCCGCTGCATCAGTCGAAGGGGCCTCTTCCGGTCTTGATCTGGATTCACGGTATGGTTGTCGATATTGTATGCTGGACGGTATCAGAATATGCTGACGGATGCAGGTGGCTCGCAGGTTGTCACGTTTTGCTCTGCTGCATCTGGAATCTGTGGTACGTTTTATCGCGGATTGCATATCAGATCTTACCCTAATGCTACTGTAGACCCAACGAAGCTCGTTGCAGACTCGATCAAATACCAGAAACCAATGGTATTTGTTTCTATAAATTACCGACTCAACATCTTTGCTTTTGGTGATGGCAAAGAGATGAACCTTGCTCTCAAGGATCAACGACTCGGAATTGAATGGGTGCGCAAGAACATCGCTTCTTTTGGTGGTGATCCGGTATGCCCTACGGTTATTCTGAAATAAAGCGTGTTATCGATTAATGATTCAATTCTAGAATAATATCACCTTAGCCGGTGAGAGCGCCGGTGGTGTTTACGCTCACGCTCACTTGGTCACTGGACCGCCAGTCAAACGGGCCATCCTGGCTTCCGGGTCTCTCTACCTCTCACGCCCAATGCCAGCAGCACGAGGGAAGTGGATGGTCAATACTCTAGAAGCTAAAGTGAAGGAACTGGGACAGTCGTCTCTTCGCGAAGCAACTGTGCCCATTCTCATACAGGCCCTGGGAGAATGTAACGTCAACTCGATGTTCCTCCAGGAGGACTCGGAATTACAAGATTGGGAATCGAGACCGGAACATGTCGAAGAAGTCATGATTGGAGATACGGAATATGAGGTATGTGCACTTTCTAGTCACCCTACAAGCCCTGTGTCTCACGATTTACCAACGTAGTCCGTGATCTGGCGTAACGGCATTGAGACCCACGACGTATCTACGATCAATGCGGCCTTTAACTTGAACCCTGAATGGGGTCCTCAGCTGCGCAAAATGTACCAGGTCGTTCCTACTCGTCCAACGGCCAGCAAGCTCGGTGCCCTGGACATCATCGACGATGCTCTCTACGCCATGCCCGTCGAAGTTATCTCCGACAAGCTCCAAGCAAATCAAAAGACGGCTTACAAGTATGTGGTTGACCAACCTAACCCGTGGCAGTCGTCTAGCCGTTCCCACCACGCGGTTGACTTGCTCTTCCTGTTCGGGACGATGGACCTGTCGCACAACCCGGGTGCGGAGGGTGTCGGGCAAGATATGAGACGGCGGTGGGCGTCGTTTGTGAATGGTGATGCCCCGTGGCCCGAGCAGAAGAGATATGCCTATGGTCCATTCGGAGTATGTGGCGAGATTGACGAGGGACAGTTTGCTGGTCGACGGAGGATAGGACATATCAAGGCATTACGGGAGGCTGGAAAGGACGTGTTTTTGCCCATTGTTTTTGCGTTAGCAGCCGGGAAGATCAGTTTGTTGAACTAGATATCGGAATAATAGAATCGTGATACATCTGTGCCGTCGGTAGTTGATCTCTCAACTTCTACCGTCCACCACCTTTACTCCATTATTGCTCCCCACGATCCTGCGACCGTCCACTTTTACTCAGACATTACTCATGTGGGGTTAGAACAACACGTTCCTGCGGTAAGAGCGAGGATGATTCTCCTGGAAACTTGTGACGCTCATTCTCCACCCGCCTTTGTAGGGTTCGGCAATGGGAGACCTTCCGAATTGCCGAACATACAACTGTATCGCTCACGGAACGCTACACTGCCATGAACTTTGTACCATTCCCCAAGAAATGGGGCAGATGTATTGATTGATAATTGCGTTTTTGTCAAATTCAGGAGATGCTAGGACCCCACAAGATCGTGGACTATATAGACCTGGTCCCTGGATGAATGTCCTTGGATCAATCTGCATTTATTATCAACATAATAAAATCGCCATCATGTCTTCAACAACACTGTCAGACCCCAAGGAATACCAGAACATCTTCCACTGGGCACAAACACAGAAGGACGGGGCTATTCCCTCCTTCGCTACGAGACGAAACGACCCTTACCAGGTACATATTCCTCGTCATTCAAGTGATTAACAGATGCTAATCGAATTACAGTACCAAGCGGGATTTGGCAACTCGTATGTCTTCTCCATTTTGGCATCCAGCATTTCAACAGGCTGATCTAGATGTCAAGGTTCGCCTCTGAGGCAATCCCCGGTACCCTTCCACAGGGCCAGAATAACCCGCGCAAAGTCCGTTTTGGATTGTATGCAGAGCAGATCACTGCAACGGCTTTTGTTGCCCCGAGGCACGCCAACAAGAAAGCGTGGCTGTACCGGGCTCGTCCGGCCGTTGCTCATCAAGGATTTGTACGTGAGATCGCGGTTGGAGAAGAAGCCGGCTAACTAGTCCCTAGAAAACCCTCCCCGACAATCCCGACACAGAATCCAACTTCCTCCCGTTGAACCCCCGCGTGCACGTCTCTCCAACCCAGCTGGCCTGGCACCCCTTCGACATCGCAGACGGAAAAGATGGACAGGTCGACTTCGTTTCCGGTCTCAAAACAGTCGCCGGCTCGGGCGACCCAACGCTTCTCGAAGGTCTCGCGACGCATGTTTATACCGCAAACAGCAGCATGACACAAAAAGCCTTCGTCAACTCGGATGGCGAGCTTCTTATCGTTCCCCAGGAGGGAGCCCTGGACATCCAGACCGAATTCGGACCGCTTTTCGTTCAACCCGGTGAGATCGTCGTCATCCAGCGCGGTCTGCGGTTCCGCGTCAGTCTAGTTGACAATAAACCGGTTCGTGGATATATTCTTGAAATCTGGGGGAGTCGGTTCGAGCTGCCGGAGTTGGGTCCGCTGGGTGCCAATGGTCTGGCTAATGCCCGGGACTTCCTGTCTCCGGTTGCTGCGTACGACAAGCAGCGCGAACAACCATGGGAGATTGTCTATAAGATGGGAGGGAAATTCTTTAGCAGCACACAAAACCACAGCCCATTTGATGTTGTAGCGTGGCATGGCAACCACGTATGTCTACTTCCCCAAGGTCATAACATGTCAAACTGACGGTTTACATAGGTCCCCTACAAATACGACTTGACCAAGTTTGTCAATGTCGGGTCGATCTCGGTCGACCACATCGATCCCTCTATCTTCTGTGTGTTGACGGCCAAATCTCGTGACCCTTATACGCCATTGGCCGACCTGCTCATTTTCTCCCCGAGATGGGATGTTGCATCGCGTAAGTGCACCATGCTCCTCAGACGGAATTCATACTCATGGGGATAGACACCTACCGCCCACCATACTACCACCGCAATGCTGCCTCAGAACTCATGGGCCTCATCTACGGCGAATACGGCGGCCGCTCTGACGCCTTTAAGCCCGGCAGTGTCTCTTTCGAATGTGGCAGTATGTTCTCTCCCTTGCAACTAATGCGCGTATACTAACCGGAATCCTACAGTGGTCCCCCACGGCGTCGCCTATGAAGAGTTCAGAGCAGCCAGCGACCAAGTTCCGTCCGAAACGAGAATCTCTGAAGGCTCCATTGCGTTCATGTTTGAGTCGAGTCGTCCTTTCACTATCACGGACTACGCATTCAATAGTCCGAAGTTGCACGAGCACGAGCCGAAGATGTGGGACAATCTTGTTGACAACTTTGCGCAGCATGAGAAGGAGGCTGAGGAGCTTCTGGCTAAGGGTTCTTGATATTCTGGTGTGGTTAGTGTAGTAATATGTATATAGTTTCTTCACATTCACAAATAGTTTCAAGCGAATAGTCGACATATTCCATGATCATTATTTATCCTTAATTTTAAATTAGCGCATACTCGCCCGATAAGACTACCAACGTACATTTTCCGAAATTTTCCGTGGCAGCATTTCGACATTCATATACCTTTTGAAGGTGATCGTAATGCTCGAATCTATCTAGCTAATGGCCTCCATGGCAACCGTGACCCTTTAGGTTTGGCAAACCTATCAATGGCATTAGTACAGTATTAACATCGTTACAGCGATGATTAACCCAAAGCCGGTTAAACCAGCAACTCAGACTCAAAGACATTTATACTACGTGACTTCATCTATTTTTGAATTGACCCCAGTTCATGCATTGATGATGGCTTTCGTTAATATCAACAGGAAAGCTCGTGCTGTTCGTCCGTTAGTCTGATGGATTGGAATACAAAACGCCGGGTAGCTTACTGCTTGCCCCATTGGAATGGGAGAGGGTTAAGTCTGCATTGCATTTGACGGCGTACAGCAATTAACCGAACAATGTTCTGGATCCAGGTCAATCTCGTTCAATGCAACACAAAGCGGGACTAGACTTACCGCCGTGATCCATCAGACTGATCACTTCTTTTTCTGTTTGGGTAATAGGGATCAAATGTAAAGGATATCGAAAACGCTAGACACAATGAATAGTGAAAGACGCCCAAAGAGCCGTAGTCGCCAGAGCCGTGCTTAGTTTGCCAATGTATCATCTTTATAATTGTCGTCTACGTCGTCTTCCGACAGGCAAATGCAGGAATCTGGAGGTGGCAGTACAGCTTGTTACTAATCTAGAAGCATGCACATTGAAGCAACTCGATCCAGGCGGCTTCCAACCCAGGCGACGGCGATCCAAACCCCTGATGAACAGGGTCCGGGATCATAGTGTCACCATCAGGAAGATGAGGTTATCCGTCGAGATCTCTTTCTTGTAGCCTATGGCATCTTGAGCCGGTGTTGTTTCATGGCTAACAACGCTTTTTGACAACTTAGGAGAGGTACTAGGGACAAGATGGTAACCGGAATCGCTCTTCGACCACAACAGGATAACCAGGATGAATGGTATATATAAAAGAACAAAGGGAAATGGATTTTCAACGCTAATGAATGTCGCTGGTAAAACGATTTCTGCCTGGAGTATGATTCTTTCTCCCAAGACCCATTGTCTGAGTTTTGATCAGGAAGAGCAACCCTGGAGTTGGAAGTCGTTCGATTTATTTGGCATCTTGAACATCACGTACCGAAATATCCTGGATACTTAACACAAATAAAATCGAAAGTCCAAATTTCTCTATATCGCTGGCCCTTGAAATCCGAATATATCGCGCTTGAACAAAGAGAATAAAGGCTTATGTCTATTGGGCTAGTCTATTGAACCATTCTGTCAATTTGTTCCTTAAAAATTACCTCAACGATACACGTACAACTCTCGCACTTCCCCTGTGGCTTGTCTGCCTCTTTAGCACAGAAGGATTGCATCGAGTCCTGTCCATCAACGCTGCTGGTGCGTACATGCAACTGGAAGTAGACTTGAGGCTACATTGAAGGCCTCACGCGTCAAAAAGCGACAATATATCCCCGGCATGGCGTAACTGCATCCTTCTCGGTCCACCCAATCTACGTTGGTACTGACAAGGATAGACAGGAACTAGTCATAATGACTCGGCAAGGACTTCTCTGATTATCTCTTCTACGCTCACCCGGCACGTTTCCGGTCACACCCAAACCTTAAGCGCGATGATACGTTGCTAGATTCCTGAAGCTTTAGCATCACCGCATACCAGGTATGCATATTCCTGAAGTCCGAGGATACTTCCACCATCATGACGCGACCCAAACTATATCCAAACAAAGTAGCAGGTCATAATCGCTGGATATGCATTGGATTATCGTGTTTCAACCAATTACAAGGCGAATCAGCTGCTCGACTTGAATATGGTGCATTTTTCATCAGCGGGCCAAGGGAGGATGCTTGTGTGGTTGATCTCGTGCTTGGTCTGTTATCATATTCTGTAGTCCCCTGCATTCTTGATAGCTTCATATACAATGTTTGAAGAGTCCTGTTTATGTCACTAGCGTCATCCTCGCATGAGGACACAACGGGCGATATAGAAATGGCACAATGTCCTTTTGTTTTAACAACAGATTCGAACAAGGAAACAATAGCTTTGACGATCAACATTTATCATATCCTTCTCGAGACAAGTCTTGACCCATTCACTTTGAGAATGCACGTGAACAGCATCTTTACAACCATTGCTCTTTTGGCTATGGGCGCCTTTGCCATTCCGCTTGATACCACTATGTCCAATCGACGCTGATAGTTATGGCCGAGTATACTGACATGGGCCGAAGACGCCAAGGGGAACAATGCGCTCACCAAGCGACCTGAAGCGGACCAGGGCTATGAAGGAGCCGGTGCTAGGAGACAAGTCGACTCCAACCAACCAACCGAGTCGCCGACAAACGCCCTAAAGCGGACCCGGGCTATGAAGGCCTTGCCAAACAACTGGAAGCCGAGATACGAGGAGGCCGGTGCTAAGCGGCAGATTGGGAGTGAATGGGATTGTGCTATAGGCTTGGAGACTGGATGTTGTAACCATGACAGGACGGATAGTATCACTCTATTTCATCCCATCTTCAATGGCAATTGTACGTTACAACTCATGTATCACTTTCAACTCATAGACCCCCGGACATGGCGGGCTTGGCTCGTACATATGGAGTCGCCGTATATCCTATGGAGAATAGAGGTGATAATAGAGGTGATATCCGCCAGAAACTATTCGAGGTAATGAGCATGTCATGTTTCCGTCGTTGAGCCTCATGCCTGACTCGGACCAAGTAGACATGAGCTCAGATTGACGAGTCCTGCGGATTCGCCGGAGACACTGGTCATTGGATACTGGAGGAATTCTTTCAATCAAGTAGCTGGCGACTCTTACGAAGTACAGGAACGACACTCAGGCCAGTACGATGCCAAACTTGGGTGCAAATATCCAATTGCTAATCTATGCCAGTTACCAATGTCGAAAGTCCAAAGACCCGATATACAAAGCCAATCGTGGCAGAACGAACAAAACGACGCGAATCGCATGGGACCATCGAATTCAGATGCAAGATTATCTTCAAATACATGGACGACCATGGCATCGTAAGGCTGTACAATGATGAATATATGCAATAAACAAGATGAACGCCTGCTCCCAAACCAAATAGCAACAATATATACTCCGAAACCAATGCAATCGGACAAAAGGTTTTAAATAAACACGCAGATAAGCAAGATGCAGCAAAGAAGCCTCACTCGTGAGGCTTATCCGGTTGGTCCGGATCAAACCGGTATCGTCGCCAGTTCTCAGACACCCACCACTGGGCGACGTGAGCAGCCTCGCCCACCCATTTGAAGGCAAAAGGCCCGTGAATCCGCTCGACTTCCATCGCCAATTGATCGACGTCGAAGCTCTTGATTACCGGCGAGACCTCGTGAGGGTTGATCGCCATGTTGCTGAATCGCCATTCAACATCGTTGATCAGGGGAATCACCAGACGGTAGGGTTGATCTGCGGACCGGACAGAAAGCCACGAACCACCAGTGTTCATGACGCTAAACTGCCAATCTTGCCTGCCCTTCTCTTCGCGAGTCAGAGGTCGAATCATGGACTGACCTTCGTACAGGGCTCGGACATCAGCGGCGGCGTGACGAGCATCATCTCCGAGCGAAGCAGATTCGATCAGCAGGTCAAGGACAGTGGGGGCGATCTGGCTGTTGATGACCGGAGATTCGATGGGAACGGCCGGCAGTTTCGGGTGTGCAAGAACAAGGGGGACATGGAAGTTTCCGACGCGGGGGTTGTCATAGGGAGTGATCCCGTTGTCATATGGCAACGACAGACCACTGAAGACGGTTAGTTACCGCATATATTGAGTGGGGTTATAAAAAAAAAAAAAAAAAACTACTTACTGATCACCAGCCATGACCAACAGTGTTTCATCGGCAACTCCCTTCTCCTCCAGCATGTCCATAATCTCTCCCAACCAACCGTCAGCAAAACCGATGGTGTTGAGATACCGGTTCATGTTGTCGTTATTCCAATTCGAACCGAGAAGGTCCTCATACTTGCCGCCCGGCATACCCCACGGGTGGTGAGTAGTTCCAGTTAGGTGCGTCAAGAACAGGCGGCGATGGTTCTGCTCAGCATCGTCCAGAGCTTCTCGGATACGGTCATGCAGGACATTATCCGCATATCCGTAATAGTTGACCTCTTCAACGCCCGTCAGATTGAGCGACTCCTTGTCGGTGATGTCGTGGTATCCCATCTTGGGGGTCAGGTCATCCTGGTGGTCGTACGTTTCGGTGACGGACTGCATCCACTTGGAATGCCAGGGCCAGGTGGTATAGTCTTCGGGGTCGGTGTCGTTGTTTTGGGTGTTGAGCGCGTCAAAGACGTGGGCCAGACAGGGCTGGTAGATGTGTTGCTGATACTCGCGGTTGAAATCGGCAACCAAAGGAGTCACACCGCAGAGACTGCCGACCACACTCTTGAGGGTATAGGTGCCGGCGGTATAGGCGTCGCGCGCGCTGATGCCACCATACGGCTTGGGTGGGCCATCTTTCTTGGAAAGGGCGGCAGGGAAACCGGTCAGGCGTTCGGCATTGCGGCCGATTTTCAACAAGCGTTCCTTGGCTGCGTCGGGGATTTCACCACCGTACGATTCGAGAATGCGTTCCCAGATGTAACCATCCTCCCGCAGAGGGAAGACGTCGGCGCGGGTGCTTTCGAGCTTGATGAAGATGATGTGCTTGATGTTGACCTCACCGCTGCGCAGGGCTCCTCGCAACGGCTCGAGGACGTCGTGGTGCAGGTTGGAGATGTGAATGGGATCCTCGGTGGGGTTGTAGTGCAACGGCGGCTCAGTAGCGTTGGCAAGCAAACTGGGCGCCCAGTCCGCGAATCCGGGCACGACACGGTCGTTGGGTAACCAGTCCAGGGTGACGGGGGGGGTCAAAGCAGTCTGGTTGGTGAGCCAGCCATAAGAACCCTTCAATCCGCTGACTTCGACGGGCGGGCCGCGATGAGGCCGACCGTCAACCAAGGGGGCCAGAGGGATGGACCACGACAGGAAAAAAAAGGCCGGGTCGGGAGGACGGACGCAGCGCAGAACGAACAGGACAGTCATGGGGAAGAGAACCAAGAGTCGCTTGAGCAGCGAAACGGCGGTCTTTTCGGAGGCGTCCACGTGTCCGTCCAGGAGGAAATCCTCACTCTTATCGTCGTCCACCACCTCCTCGCCGTTGTTTTGGTCGTCGCGATAATCCTGACACTCGATACGTTCGAAAGCGGCGGGATCGGGGCGCTTGCGGCGCCAGCAGCAGACGACCAGCTTCAGCGAGGAACCGAGGATGTGCAGCACAGCGCCGGTGGCGTTGTAGAGGAGGTTGCAGGAGAAATAGGCCCCGACGACGATGAGAACCTCCACGATGAGGAAACCCGTCAAGCCGGACAGGAGTGTGCGAATCGCAGCAGCGTCGCTGCCGACGTTGTGGGCCTGGTGCCAGTGGATTTCGGCGCCGGTGGTGAAGTAGAAGGAGATGTTGGCCGAGGCCATTCCAGAGATGGCCAGTCTTGACTCGGTTAGCACTGTGTCTGACGACCGATTCCAGCCTCAACTTACGTGCAAATAATAGTGACAACAGCCGCAGCAATGCGAACCGTCTTCCATTGGAACTCGGCCGTCAGCCCCCTCACGAGGAAGATGATGACGATATCCTGCAGAAAAAAGGTGATGCCCCAAACGAGCAACACAGAAACCGACAGGGAAGTGATATGAGCGTAAATATGGGTCATCTTGGCCGTGATCAGAGCGAGAAAGATGACCGCAAAGCAGAACTTGCGCACAGCGGCCCAGGCAGCATCGACATAGGTCCCGGGGTATTTGGCGACGAGTTTGGCCCCGTCCAGCCCGGCCTGGGCGATTCGATGATACTGCATCGTGAGGGTGCCAAGTGAAGAGACAGTATGGTAGTATAGTACAGCCGGTAGAAGAGATGAATCCGCCACGGCAAGAGAGCACGCGACACGAGGACTCCTTTTTGGTTCAGTGGACGAGACCCATGGAACGGCCGGGAAAGAGATAGGGGAATAAGGAGAAGAATATAATAAGGATGAAAGAAGAAGGACGACGATATAGCCGATAAGAAGAGTGTTGACGGAGAGAAGGGAAGAGGAGGAGAGAAGAGAGAAGAGGAGAAAGCCTGACAGAGCGCCAGGAAGAGAACCAAGAGAGCCTCCCGGTCCACACGAGACCCTGCGCCCAATGGGGCTTAGCGCGACTAAAATAGCTGTTAATAATCATTCCAGAATCGGGGGATCCTCCGGAGTATTTCCTGTTCGGATACCTTACGGGGGACATTCTCTCTCCCATTCTCTCCTCTCCTCTCTCCTCTCTCCTCTTTCCACTGTCTCTACTGTCTCTGCTGCCTCAGTATTCTGTCCGTGCTACCAGTGATTCTTTCGGAACCGCCACGGCATGCCCTTTTCGGCCATCCTCCGTAAGGCTAATGCCAAGACTAACCGCGCCCCGCGCCAAGACCGGGCTGTCCGACTCTGATCCGGCAGGCGGTCGCGTGCATTTTCTCAGGGATTGAGCTGCAGGGACTATTCTTTCTGCCTGGTGTACCTACAACCCGCGTATGGAGTACGTAGGAGTAGTAGCAGTGTGTACGAGTGAAGTCATGACATCGACGAGGTGAACCCATAGTATGGATAGCGCGCCGGAAATGACGATTTCCCCCTTTTAAGGAGTCCTCTCAGCCCGGTGAAACATCGGTCATGCAACGTCCCTGTAACGGTCTGACTATTAGCTTATAGACTATCGAGAGCATGGTCCTTGCGAGATGAGACAATGGCACAGAACCCCTGACTCGACTGTCTCGACGGCGATACGGCTTCTTATCGAGGATTCTCCTACGTCATGAACAAGCAAATACAGACAGGTTCTGCTGCTGTCACGTCCAATAAACTCAACGCTGACGAGTCCCGCGATTGCACCACTCTACGGTCAGCCACGCAATTTCTGCCGTCCACGGAGTATGGAGTTGAGCATGAGTTGGGCATGGAGAGCATATGGAGAGCATATGGAGCGTATGGAGCGTATGGAGCATATGGAGCGGACTACAAGTACACAGCATGCGTACAATATACATGCACCTGTAACGATCAAATCTGCCTTACACGTGACTATGCGATCGTATTCGGCATCGCTGCCATTGAAATTTTAGTATAGCCCCGCTACCAACCACGGAACCATTTTCCCGATTGGCAACTCAACCGGCTTTTGACTTGCCACTGCATAACGTTCCTGCATAACCTGCATTACTGGCAGAGTTGTGTACACGTTGCTCGTACTCGTATACAGCCCGTTGCAGTGGTTAGTCCACCTTCCACCCCCCAGGCATCAAATCCGTATACACCCGCTCGGGGTCGTATTTCGCTCGAATCTTCTGCAGCCGCTGCACGTTTTCCTTGGGATACGTCGCGAACACGTCCTGCTTGGGGTTGGCGTCGTTCAGGTACAAGAACCCGGGGATGTCGATTCCCTTTTCCTTGAGACGCTTGGTGATTGCGCTGTTCGCCTTGTCGTAGAATTCATCCAGTTGCTCGTCTTTCACCGTGCTGAGAGCTGTGATGCTCTCCTCGACCCAGATGTAGGGCGCGCCCTCTGGGTCCAAGGACATGGGGTCGCCACCGTTCACCGTCGATGCTTCGATGTACTTCTCACCCACGGCGGGAAAAGCAAGTGCCGCGACGAGCACACCAGGGGGGAGCTCCGACTTGGCAATTTCCAGGTACGTATCGTGCACGATGGCAATGGCCTCGCGGTTCGACGCGTGGATGTTCAACACGTAGAATCGCTGACGGTCGCCCTTGAGCAGCGGGAATGTCGGGTCCAGCTCAGTGGTCCACTTGTACATAGATCGGTAGGAGTACGAGTTGGTCAAAGTCGTCAGTCCGTTGTCACCCGACGTGCCATTCTTCGTACCCAGGAACTTCTTCAACGACGCAGGCGACTCGTTCTTCCCGTTGTAGAAGATGAAAGAGGTATAGAACGCTGTGCCCAGGGCCTGGATGAACTCTACCGTCGGGATGGTAGCTGATTTGTAGTCTTTCGTCCCAGAGACGGCGTAGTCGTGGACGGCGTCAATGAAGTTGTCCGCCGTGTGCTCGTTGTTCACGTACGAGGCCACCCCAATCATCACCTCGGGCGCGTCGATAGTGGTCATCTCAAAGTTCGTCACGATACCGAACGAGTTTCCACCGCCGCGAAGAGCCCAGAAGAGATCCGAATATTCGTTGTCTGCACGCGCAACCGCAACCGTTCCGTTCGCCAGGACGACCTATCTCGTCAGCATCGCCCTCCTCCCAACCCAATGCCAAAAGACATACCGTAAAACTAGCAATATTAGCAGACCCCCAGCCATACTCATTCCCAAAATACGACACACCCCCTCCCAGCAACAGCCCCGGCACACCAACAACCCCAAGACGACCCCCAACAACCGTCAACCCGTACGGCTCCAGCCCCTTGTACACATCCACCCAGTGATTCCCCGGCCCGATGTTAACGGTTTTCTTGTCGTCAGACACCTGCACCTGCGACAGTCCCGCCGTGGAGAGCAGAACACCCGTTGAGTTGATATTCGCCGCGTCAGCGATGGGCATGTGTCCTCCACCACGGACGGCGAAGGGGGAAGTGAAGTTCTGGAACGTCAGGACGGCATCGGCCATTTGGTAGCTGTCGGACGGTTCGAAGACGCATGCTGGACCGAGGAAGGCGCTGGACGTATAGAAGTCTATACCCGTTAGAGATGAATATGCATCACCACATAAGAGGGAACGCACCCGTGTTAGCCTCGATATAGGTCGGATCCAAGCCATATGCGGTCAATTCCGGATACTTCTCATGCAGTGCCTTGCAGGCTTTTTTCGCGGGCGAGTCATCTTGTAGACTCTTCTGCGCAAAAAGCAGCAGGGACAATGCGATGGCTGTCTTCATCCTGAGTCCGCAACTATGTTGAAAACACGCGCGCACACGCACACAGGGAAAAGGGTACGCATAAATAATCTTGCTCAAACTCAATACATTTTCACGTGTCGAAAAGGGTGATCTGCGGGGCGAGTTGACTGTTTTTTGGTCTGCCCAATTCCGGGGCTTATTCCGACATCCTCTGTTTGGGATCTCTGGATTCCAGAAATTGAGACATGCATTGCGAGTTTCACATGTCATATTACCCTCGGTATCGCAAGTTAAGTCAAATCATCAAATTTTGGAACATCAGGTCATAAGCTATGTACAGTCGTGACCGAAACGACACTAAAACATGCCCCAATCTATATGCGCAAAACACCGATGCTTAAGAACATGAAACTTAAATGCTGAAAACGGTTAAGCATTGTTGGCGCATGTAAAGCTGGCCTTGGAGGAGTCGTCATGGATGGCTTTGCCCGACACATACAGACCGAGTCCGCACTGTCCATCGTTAGCACCGTGCCGTCTCCGTCAAAAAAAAAAAAAAAAAAAAAAAGGACGTGTGCACTTACTATCGTTGCGCCAATTCCCACAATCAAAACGTTAATGATCGTCAGGGCGATCTTACGGGGAGAAGAAAAGTACCGACCCCAGTTGAGGTGCAACCAGTACACACCACCAAGACCGACTGCACAAGTTAGTCACTGTCAACTCCCGTCACGTCGAAGATACTTACAACTAAACCAACTGGCAAACAGCGCACTGATCAAACTCAACAGGTTGCTGAAACTCGGGATGCCCTCTGCGATGATCCAGGCGATAACCCAGCAAGTCAAACCAATGGCTACCCAGGAGCCGACTGAGACCAGATCGCGTCCGCCCATGCGCTGAGGGTTCTTGCGCCAGATGCGAACATAGAGGTATTTCAACCCGACGTGACCGTTGACGACACCGGCACCGATAATCTAGACAATCAGCTCTGCATTCTCGCAGTAGAACGGGGGGGGGGGAACAACTTACAGTGGGAATGGCAATTCCATAAGCGACCTTCTTCATGACGGGACCGGCGGAACCCAAAGCAGGCGAAGCGACATCGTTGCCGACAAAGTAGTAAATGACGACCGCAGCGATCACATACAAGCAAATTTCGAAGATTTGCAGCATGCAGAGCGCCTTGGGAAAGTCCTGGGGCTTCTCCATCTCAGCAATGAGACCAAAGAAGGCGACGTGCGCGCAGTACGCGAAGACGATGTTGGTAACGGCGGTGAACGAGTGGTACAGGTTGGTCTCGGTGGTGATGTTGATGTCGCCGCCCTTGAACTGGACACCGACGGAGATCATGGTGATCAAGACGGCGGTGAAGATGCTGACAAAGGACGCAATGGAAATGTAGGTCATGTTCTTGATGGTCCGGGGCAGGGACAGAACCATGCAGATGATCATACCCACGATACCAAAGACGATGGAGCAGGTACCGTGGTCGGTGATGGTGTTCATCATGGTGGTGAACGTGACGATATGGCTCCCCATGATGAAGATGGAGAAGAGCAGCTGACCAAAGCCGAACAGCTCACGGCCAAAGCGACCCATGATGATCTCGCCAGCATCCGCGAGGTTGTGGATGTGAGGGTAACGCGTACGGAACTGGCCAATGGTGTAACCGGTGTAGAGCGCGACGATACCGAGACCGACGATGATGACGATGGCGCTGGCAGGTCAGTATTTGGCCAGCAAACAGCTCGAGGTGGACTTACGGCACCAAGCCAATGGCAGCCAGAGTGGCTGGCAACGAGAGGACACCCAGCGAGACAGATTCCGCAATCATGAACATTCCACACTGCCACCACTTCAGCGACTTGTACTTGACCGCAGAGGCCTCGTCGGTAGCGAAGGGGTCGACATAGTGGTTGTCGACGGGCTGGACAGGCTTGAGGTCGTTTTCTTCCAGGTCCGCGTCATACTTGTCGGTGACCTGCTTGGACTCGATGGGTTCAGGAGGAGCGACGCCTTGGAGGACCATTCTGTCGTTGGATAGCAGAGAGACGGGGTGAGAGAAGACGGGTCAGAGGAAGAGAGTGGTGAAAGGAAACAACAGAAAGAGCAACACGAAAAAATCGAAAGCGGCAACGGCGTAGTGGGGCGGCTGAAAGATAAGCAATAGGCGCGCGTGAGGATATTGAGTAAGAGAATCCCCCAGACTTGCTTCACAGTGACTGCACTGCTGCTACTATTGCTATTAGTAGTACCACGCCAGAAAAACTGCATTCGTGAGTTTCTCCAGTTTAGGCTAAGCTTCGATGGTGGGTGCTGTCAGCATCTCACGAATCACAGGCGTAGAAAATAGAGTCTCGGACCACATCCGGAAACAAGCACTGCAACCATGCACGTTGCACTTGGCAGGGCCATAATACTGTTCTAGAAGGTGTACTCATCAATGGTTACATATGGCACATAACTGCATATTTAACTATGCTGTACAACTACAATAAACTACACAGTATGTACATACCCCGGAGCAGCAGCAGCAGCAGTAGTAGTCGGGACTGTCATAACCTTATCTCTTGGACTTTCTGTGCGACTCGGTCGGAACCGACTCGCTTAAGCAACAACTGGCTCGTTCACCGCCAGGTTGCGGGGATGCGGGGGGTGGTCACGTGGTCGCGTAGACAGAATACTGTATAGTTACAATACAGCCATAAAGAAGTCCGTTCAGTTCTGCTGCGTACCAGTTCCACCCCCGCTCTCCGCATCTTTGAATGAGAATACGTACAAACACGTACCCCAGAGTCTTGCCCACTGAGCTGTGACCGGCCCGGGGATAGCCGTTCTTGCATTGCCGGACACGACTATATTCCTCACCTGCGCTATTGGATCGGTGGCGATGAACACCCATTGATGTCGGGTCCGATGTAACCCACCAGAGTAATGCAGTCATGCAGGTCAACTTGTCCAGATCCAAGCCGACATACTCGGGACGGCCGGAACCACCATCCTGTCTTTCGGCCTTGGCACCTCAGGTGTCTGTTGACGTGGCTGAACTGTGGCAGCGTCGGTGTCAATGGGCGGTGCATCTCCAGGCCTCATGGCACTGCCCTGTGCTCCGGCAAGCACTCGCAGTTGCTGGCTTTCGACGATGATGGCTCCTTGGGTCTTCCCAGGCTCACCGCGCTCGAGGAGAACGGGTATGGAGGACCTTGGTGCACAGTCGCTCTTTGTACTCCGCAGCCGTGCAGGAAGGAAAACTGCATCCAGCCTTGCAGTCCACCTATCAACGGCCTGGTCTGTATCGTGGCCAAGGTCAGCTGAACCCTACGGTCATGTAGCTCCTCGATGCTACTGGCATGATCCCTGCTGCGACGAACCTATCCCACTCGCGGTCCTGTCTCGGTCGACGGCTAAGCAAGATAGTTGTCTGTCTGTTAGGGCCATCCGCTCTCCTTGCATCCAAGCCATCGCGCAGATCTTTCTCTGGGTGATAATCCATAAATTCAGCCATGTTGCCCTGCTGTGTTCTGGTTCTGCGTCTTCCTATGGGTCAGCAAGCTCTGCGCGTCGCTTCTCTGTCTTCGTCACTTCGCCATGACCCGTCTCGAAAACAAAGTCGCGATCGTTACCGGTGCCGCTTCAGGCATTGGCCGGGCCATCGCCCTGCAATATGCTCGCGAAGGTGCCAAAGTCATCTGCGCCGATCTGTCACTTCATCCGCACTCGGAGAATGCCACGCCCACCCACGAAGTCATTCAGCAGACTGGCGGACAGGCCATCTTCCAGCAGGCAGATGTCAGCAACACTGCTCAGGTGCAGCGCCTGGTGCAGAGAGCCGTCGGCGCATACGGCCGTCTGGACATGTAAATACCCATAGCACCATGTTGGACGCTGCTGACACCTGTAGTTTGGTCAACAACGCCGGCATAGGCACGGGCAGTCGCGAGCCATCTGCGCTGCATGAAGCGGATGAAGAGCTCTGGGACGACACGATGCGCATCAACTCCAAGTCCGTTTTTCTGGGCTGTAAGTACGCCCTGGCTCAAATGCTGCAGCAAGACCCGCATCCATCAGGCGATCGAGGATGGATCGTCAATATCTCATCTATCGCAAGCCTGGTAGCCATCGGGGGCATTGGTATGAACATTCCTTACCACTTTGAGATCAAGCTAACCGACCAGGACCATACTCCGCCTCCAAAGGAGCCGTGAGCAGTCTGACTCGACAGGCAGCACTGGACTACGCACCGCATCGGATCCATATCAACGCCATCTGTCCCGGCTGTATGTCCCCGTACTCAACTCGCTTGCCCTTGCTAACGGAACAGTTGTCCGAACTCCCATCCTGCTCGCGGCAGCCAAAGACCCGGCCTTGGCGGATGAATACAATCGACTCCACCCTTTCGGCGGTCTTGGAGAGACCGAATATATTGCGAGAATGGCTGTCGTGCTGGCAAGCGATGATGTCCGCTGGATGACCGGTGTTGTTCTGCCGGTGGACGGAGGATATACTGTGCGGTAGTATTCTATCTACAAGTATCGTACATAAGATCGTTTTTAGGCTCTAGCGAACTGCTCCTTGGGATCAAACAATGATCTGTTCCGCAACAACTCCAGCAATGGTAGAAACAGCCGCGGTTTGCCGTCGCTCTGGCTCTGGCTCTTGATATCCCCCCACGTTGCCCAGCTCCATCCCTCGCATTTCTCCGGCTCGACGAGCTACGCATCATCAATACCAGCATCTTCCTTACTATGAGCACTTAGACTCACCTGCGGCTGCGCATCGTCATCAACAACGGCCCCCATGAAGATAGTCACGTAGTGCTTCCCCACATCCTTCATGACACTATTCGTCGCCGTCAAAAAGCGCAGATCCCGAACGTTGAGACCAGTCTCTTCTAGTACCTCTCTCTCTGCGCAGGCTTCAAAGGTCTCGCCGAATTCCAGGTGTCCTCCAGGGAGCGCCAGGGTTCCTGCTCCGTTAGCCTGGTTCGAGTCCGGATGAGGGGAGGGGGCCGCTGTACCTGCGCCATGGCTGCCCTTTCGCACGCCAACGATGAATTGGCCCTTGGAGTTGAAGATGAATACGCCTACGCCGATGTCGGGTCTCATTGTGGTACTTTGCGATAGGAAAGGTGTTCTGTTGAGGATTGATCAAAAGAGATAGCAGATTTGAGTGACTCACCCCACCATATACCGGCCAATCAGAATACATATCGCTGCTCCGCTACATGGAATACTACTATTTACATCGATGGACTATGTCCTTATATACATAACCTCCGGATACGCAGAAGACGGCACACGCAGCAATGCCGGCTTCTTCCCCGTCAAGAAGAATCTGCACGCCTCTGTGATATAATCCGTCAAGATCGTCCTAACACGCAATCCAGGCAACGTCCCCAAACCCAGCAACGAACCCAGGTTCTTTGCAGTTTCGTTCCGGAGCATCTTAGCTGACGGCGCAGAATCAAACACAACCGGCAAGTCACTGAACGTGAGATGCAGCCAGTCCTTTAACTGCAGCTGCATTCTGAAGCCACGCAGATGCGGCCATGTTTCGTTCCACGTGTCGTATCCTGGATCCGCTAGACTCGCTTCGCCGAAGTTGATAAATGGTCGGTCAAGGCCTTGCTGGATGACTGAACCCTGCAGGCTCCCGTCAAAGTTGATGCCACCGGCAAAACGAATATCGTTGAGCATGGCCTGTGCTGCTGTGGCGCCGCCTAGCGAGTGTCCGATAAGAGTTACACGGTCGACCTGCAGTTTGCCGGGAAAGGAAGAAGAGATGATCAAAATCTTGCGGCTTTTGCGGCTTAATCCACGCGGTGTGGATGGAGGGCACCCTCCATCCGCGCCAAACCGCGCCGAATGCAACTCTAGAAACGAGTTGTCATAGTTTCAAGTAGCAGTAGTATAGGTCCTTTGATTCCCCTTGTAGGCTGTTGTAGGATAAAGTCTCCGCCTTGCAGCATACGACGAAATATAGCAAACCATTCATGAGCACAGCAAACAAGCTACTTTTCCTACCTGTACCCAAGCGACTAAAAATAGGTTGCTTTAAGCAATATAGGCCAAGACCTTTTGCCCAAAGGCAGATCTACTACCGCTCATTAATGTGGCAAACAAGACTTTATAACAAACACTATTTAACTATGGAATCAATCCTACTTCTAAAGATACCAAAAGGCTATATTGAGGGGCCGTTCTTGATACTATATTATAAACGCGGGGTTTCGATCTAATAATCACTGACCAAATTTCAAGACTTGGCTCCCTTCATCATCTCCTGCCGCTGGGCCACCATGCGAGCAGTCTCTGTGCCAATCTCCGTCCCCAGACTCTCGAAACCGTCAATGACTCCCGCCCGGTCCTTCTCGCCCATTTCCTGACTCATCTTAAACTTGCCTCCGAGTCGGGTGATGTCAATCTTGATTCCAATAATGGCTTTTTGCATGATCGCAATATATCGGTCGGGGGCATCTGACACCTTCCAAGGGCCTTTCTTGTCTCCTTCAGTGTATCCCATCACCGCGGTTTCCGCATGCTGGGAGAGATCGCTGATTTGATGAGACAGATACTCTGTCGATGCTACACCACTGTCGAAATAAACTGTTGCTCTCCCATACGCTTGCACCGCAGCGTAGTTCCACGTCGGAACGACTTTGCCCGTAGCGGGCTTCGTGTCCGTATAGAATTTGGGCGTCACGTAATGATGCACAGGCCCAGTGAAGAGTACCAGGACTTCATCTTTGAGCTGCACGCCCCCTGTCGTTCCGGGGGGCATATTTAAGGTGGCAGAGTCCACCATGGCTTTAGCCTGAGGGTTCTGTCGAGCCATATGTCCTCGCAAAATGCCGAGTTCGGTCATGCTAGAATCATCCTTGACATCGATAACCCACGGGATATGGCTTGTTTGAAGGAATGGATATTCGGAGGACATGATAGCCGTGGTGAGGGTCCCGAGGGGATGATCTCTCACAAATCGGCGGAGGGTGGGAATGTGAGATTCCGCGTGAATGGCTCGGAGATACATCACGGACAGGTCAGAGAGAAAATCTCTGGGGTAATTTGGTGTCTTGAGAGAGCGGCTGGGAGAAGAGAGACATAGGGATAGCCGCGTGCATTTATAATTCTTGAAATATATTTTGGCCGTATGGAAAAAAATTCCATCTTTCAATTTGCGGGGCCGAGAGGAACTGTGTCCAAGTGTTTGTAATATATCTCAATCCATCTCGGGGGCGTCATTGCCGACGAGACTCCGATTTTTGGTCTGGAGGCGACTCACCCTTCTCCGATGCGTCCGATACATCATTCCGACCACATATCCGATGACTTCTCTGAAGACAATTGTTGATAGCAAAAGGTACTTGTAGTCAGCAAGGATCGACCTTATGGAGCAGTCGCAGCTTGAGGCTGAGACCGACCGGATTCCGAGTCAACCGGCATCTCTGCAGAACCCACAATCCGGCAAACGACAACGGCGCATACCTCTTAGCTGCAGACCATGCAGAGTCTCCAAACTGCGATGCGACCGCCAACATCCTTGCGGCACCTGTCAGCGTCGAGACTGCGTCGTATCATGTAGCTATCAAAATGCCAATAACATTGCGGTCACCCTTGCCGATCGACAGACAACTTCCTATCCTCCAGACTTGCCGGCGCCAGACAGTGTTAGATCAATTACTTCTGACCCATTCGCTTCGGCTCAAAACACCCGCAGGGATCTGGATCTACCAGGATCTGAACATGAAAGCCCTGAGTCTACCCAAGGCCGATGGGACGCGGTTCTTCGACGACCTACCGTGGACTGTCACGATCCTCTCACGGTATCAGAGAACCTGTTTATGCCTTTCTCGCTAACGTCTCATGTCCCAATGAAAGAGCTTTTGGAAATGTTACCATCTACTGACTGCCGTGACTACCTGATATCTCACTACTTCGCTCATCTATCTCCTATGTTTCCGTTCTCCACGACCCGACATTTCAAAAGGAGTATTCCGCATTTGTGCAAGAGCCTGACAAAATCCATCTTTCTTTTCTGGCGTTGATATTCATGATGTGCTCGATGTCTCTGAACACTATGGAATCCGATGATATCATCGTCGGAGGGTTGTTGTCCCAGTCGCAAGACCACTTGACGTACTCGCTCCAGCTTCGAAACGCCGCCATGACATGCCTATGCCAAGACCATTTTCTGGTTCATCACAATCTCCACACCCTTCAGACTTTGTTACTGCTGATATATACCATCTGTCATAATGAAGGCGTCGAGCGCGCTTGGTCGTTACTGGGTATGGGGTTGAATATCGCCATGGCGCTTCGTTGTCATGTTCATTCCAACGACCTGAGCCACATTGAGATTGAACGACGCCGACGCTGCTGGTCTGGTATATTGACGCTCCATACATACCAAGCTATTCTATTCCGTGACATCGACATGTCATTTCCTCTCAATATCAAGGCCACAATGTCGGCCGAGGTCATTGATGTCGATATCCACGACGCACTCTCGCAGAAACGAAGCCTTCCCCCTATGTCGTTGATGAAGTTTAAGATTCGTTTCTTTCAACTTTCCACCCGGATCTGTGGTCATATCTCCGGCCCTTCGACGCTCAATGAAGTGTCTCTACATCATTTCAATAAGGCAATTGCTGAAGAACAACAGCTATGGGATTCCACGTTTCTCGTAGACGGATCCCCGAGCGTCTTGGATTCCGCAAGTTATGCACACTGGTGCATCCTGCAGACCTACGCGCACCAGCTATATCTCGTCCTTCACCGACCATTCCATCACTCCCAATCACCTCGGTTTCTTCCTGCATCACGAGAAAAATGTATCGAATCGAGCACCGCTCTGCTTGATATTCACCGGATCCTCTGCGAGCTTCCCCGATTCCGATATTACAAGTGGATCGTTAACGGCATGACAAGCTTTAATGCCCTCCATGGTGCCGTGGCATTGGCATCATGCCTTCTGGATAAGCCTGACTCGCTCGACATGAAACCATACTGGGCTGCCTTTGACGCGACCGTTCGCCGAATGGAAGCTCTCCAAAATCGCAGCCCAGTCTGTGCAAAGGCTTATCCTATTCTTCGACATTTGCAGTAAGATGCAACCCTGCCTGATCTTTATCAAGCGGAACTGATTTCATTTCTGTAGGAATCAAGTGTCTTCAGCGCACCGCCCACAGTCAGGTCCTGGTGACGACGCTGGAAACGGGTTGGATGACTGGATTAACGATGTTGATTGGTTTAATCTCGAGTCGGCGCACTTGGTAAGTCTGCATTCGACCATATCTAGCATTGCTCACGCCTAATGGGAATAGGACTTTGGGATGGGATGAATAAAACGGGCTGAAGTTGTCCCTGCGATTTGTAGTATAAGATCTGTTGATGATAGTGGGTCAGCGTATGACAATACTAAAAGGACTAGGTGGAGACAATAGCAATGAGCGTTATATCAATGTCTATCTATCTATCTCAAAGATGAGAAAAAGGAGCGAATCCGGAAGAGGAAGAGTTTTCTAGATGATTAAGCATCATATAACTAGTTAGTTATAAGGAGATGAAGCTAGGCAAGTGCTGAACCCCATAACTAACTTAAGGAATAGTGGTAATCTAATCTAACAAGATCACTAACGTTAATCGGCGTGGGACTCGGACATCGGATCGGAGATGACTGGTGGCGTCGGAGATCAGTTCGGGTCGGATAGAGAGCATGCAGAAACATCAACATCTCCTTCTCCGGATTCACATACAGAGCCTTATTTCATATTATGAATCATGCAGAAATTTCCCGTCTCTCTCTGGCCACGTCGGATGGATTAAGGCCGGTACAAATTCACCTTGCTCGGTCGTTAAGTATAAAATAGCTGGTCTGCCTCTATAAACTCAGTCATATCAATGCATCCGTCATACTCTGCAAACCGTCGGTAATGGAATCCTTCTTCCAGTATCACCGGATTTGCCAGGCCGTTCGCGAGGAACTGGCAGAAATTAAAGAGAAATGTGCCTGTCCGGACTATACCATTGGATCTAGGCATAGCTCAAGGTATGTTATGTTGAGTTAAGATTCCATCGGCATTCTTGCTGATACTGTTCTCTAGCTGCGAGCTTAATTCTCATTCGTCCGAGAAGGATGAAGAACAGCAGGCTTTGTCCACTCTAACTGACACAATATCTCCTGACTTCCTGATTGTTGTTGGCTGGCGCAGCAAACATGATTCCATGAACCCGGCGAACTACAGTGTGCCACTAAAACTGGGAATGACGTTTCTCGTCTCGCTGCTTGCTCTGGCGGTTACGGCTGCATCGGCCATTGATGCCGTCGGTGTTGCACAGTATAGCCAGGAGTTTGGGGTGTCGACCGTGGCTGGATCTCTGGCGACTGGTAAGATAGCACCCAATAACAGTCGAATGAGGTAAATTGGCTAATATTTGTATCAGCTCTCTTCCTTATTGGCTTCGCTTTCGGATCTCTCTTTTCAGGCCCATTCTCAGAAACTTTTGGCCGGAATGCCATCTACCTTTCTACAATGCTGCTCTACTTGATCTTCATCATGGCCACGGCCCTGGCACCGAACCTTCATAGTCACCTCATATTCCGCTTCATCGCAGGTTTCTTCGGCTCAACGCCGCTCAGCTGCGCGGGAGGCACAGTCGCTGATTTGTGGAATCCAGCTCAAAAGGCCTACGCATTTCCCGCATATGCTATCCCCGCTTTTGCAGGCCCGGTCATCGGCCAAATTATGGGTAGCTACATTCCTGTTACCTTGGGATGGCGCTGGCTGGAATGGATTATGCTTATTATGGGAGGAACGATTCTCGCCGCGGTGGTTGTACTACAGCCGGAGACGTACGGGAATCTTCTCCTGAGGTGGAGGGCGTCCGCATTGCGCAAGGAAACCGGTGATGAGAGATACAAGGCACCAATGGAGATACACCTCGAAAGCCTAGGTCAGAGGCTGTTGGCCGCTATTTACCGACCGTTTCTCTGGAGTTTTACCGAGCCCATTATTATTCTTTTGTCTCTGTACATGACAGTCATATATATTGTGCTGTTCACCTTCCTTGAGGGATACACGTTTGTATTCGGTGAGACGTATGGGCTCACTCAAGGGATGACCAGTATCGTCTGGGCCGGGATGCTCGTTGGCATCATTGCGGTCGTTGGTATCGTCCCTGTTGTATACTCTTGGACTGCTGCCGAGTACCGGAAGACTTCTCGTGTCCTCCCGGAAACCCGTTTGTGGTATGCTATGTTGGGCGGCGCTCCTGCCGTGCCGCTCAGTCTGTTCTGGATGGGATGGACAAGCTATGTAAGTACTACCAAAAGAGAGATTGTATAATACAAACAGCTGACTGCTTTAGCCGAGTATCTCGATTTGGTCACCCCTGGTTGCGTCCGCCGTGTTTGGGTACGGAATCACAACTATTTTCATCATCGCGTATATGTACATCATCGACTCATATGACATCTACTCCGCCTCCGCGCTAGGGTTCCTCGTTTTCTCCCGGTACATCGTTGCTGGTGGTATTACCGTTGCGGGCGAGCCGATCTATCGCTCCATCGGTGTTCACTATACTCTGACCATTATGGGCTCGATCGGTACGGTCATGGCATTTGTCCCGTACATTCTTTATCTATACGGGCCTAGGATCCGGAAGTTTAGCAAGTTTGCTGTTAATGTGGATTAATTTCGATTATAGAATTCAATACTTTGCCATTGGTTGCGCTACTCACTAAAAAATTCATCTGTCAAAATTACATTCAGAATTAGAAACCAGTTGATCAATATCAGCATATTTGATCAAGAGGAGAAAGGTGTACAATTTGAATATGACAGCCTCGCCAGATTGAAGTAGAACGACAAGTCATGAAAACATATGCTGTTTCCCCATAGGCTCCGATAACTATAAGAAGGCTACACGTAATTTGCTACAGCTTTGTCTGTTGTTTCGGGAGATGAAATTTGCACCAAAGCATTTGAAGTCTGCTCTCAATTTCTCACATCTATGCTTTCCACACCTAAATCAATGGATCAAAATTTATTTCGACCATTCGTTACAGCTATAGAACATGGAAGGATGGCGCTGTAGCACTACGTCACGGGTTTATTGGAACGGCTCAACATTGGGGAAGTTTAGGTTTTGCAGGCCCGTGTCCTTCTGCTTTACCTACTTCAAACGAACTCGCGGATCACCAGAAGAAGTATAGACTCTTTGAAGTAGCGCAGGATTTGAGATGTGACCTATTAAGTTTGCTCAACACAGCATTTGATGGGTGGGTGCCAGCAGAGGAATGGGAAACGACGGAGGCCACGCATAAAGAGATTTGCAAGCTGTATTGACAAATCAAGGGTCTGATTATGATGAGTCCGTGAAGGATGAAGAAACACTCAGGTGGATCTGGCCTTTTGATATTTGAATCGCTTATAATAACAGCGTTCAAATTCTTCAAAACATCTCCCAAAAGTGGCCACCTTGGGTTCCAAGGAACAGCACTTGCTATTCTGCAAATAGAATTAGAGGCTCCTTGTGCGCTCTCGAACGGGTTTCATGGAGCCTGGGATAGTGAGCATAAATTTAGTTAATTTTGAAGATGGCTTGCCGGATTTCTTATCTCCCCAAGGCAACAACATAAGCGCGCGAACCACACCAGCTACATAGGATTTGAGCTCTGATAGAGACGCGTTGTTGTGGATCAGATCCAGAAGCTCATGAATACGCGTGTCGCCACAAAGCAAGGTATCTACGAGCCATTTAAGGAGCTCACTCTCACCCCCATTTCTCTTTAAAGTCCTAGCGCCACGGGCCGCAGATTTTGAGCAGAATCCAAGTATATGTTTCCTTCAATGGAAACCTAGAAGGCTCGCTTGCGGGAACTCCATTGGTGATATTGAAGACAGGAGAGAGATATTAAACGCCAGGAGAAATGACAAGACTGGGTGTCAAAGAAGTGGGATCAATCGTCTCAAGTTCGACAAAAGCAAACCCCGTTGGCACCGAGTACATTATCATGGAAAACTGGGCCTCAGCCGATATGACTACGGTATTCGATGACACAAACATTCCTGAGGCGACGAACCCGAGACGAGATATTAGGACATCCAATATCTCTTTCTTGATTTTCATTTGGATGTCCCTACAATGTGATGAAATCGGCAGCCTGTAGATATCCGCCTCGTTCTTATCAATTGGAAGCATCAGGGACACTGTGGAACTACCATATTGGTTGGAAAGCTACCAGCTACCTTTTAAAGTACAAAATTGATGTTTTGTAATCTCAGCTATGATTAAGTCGTTCCAACTCACCCTTCAAATACAAATTTGTCGTAGACACAATTGCCCTTGGTCTTTCTATCCACTAAAACAGCATCAAAATCATTGTGCTCCATCAGCTTTAGTGAGCCTACTTTAATCTTCTAATTCAGTGCTTTCTTCCTCAGCCTTGATGATCTTCTGGGCTTAGAGACAGCTCTTTTTGGCGGATGGCTAGTTTCAGCTGACTGGACCATCTGTAGATCTGGCTTCAAATCACCACTTGTAAGCTGACGTGCGGTGATTTGTTGAGCCAGAAAGCGGTGGTTGGCCACAGATGTATCAAGGGGATTTGTAGGACATCTTTGGTTCACCAGCAGTGGTGCACACTGCGAACCAGCACTGCTGCCCTCCATAGTTTGTGCACCTTTGGTTCTGGATTAGCAACAGTATATTTGTACGAGGATTGACAATGTTACCATCAGCACTGTCTGAATGGGGGATACTGCGATTAGTACAGCTGCTGTAATAATAGCTAGCAGGTTCAACTGCCTGTGACAAGTGCTCACACTCCCCAATTATAGCACCAATAGAACCTTTCAATTGTCAGGAATCGGTGGAAATCGCAAGGATATTGAGGACGTATCAGACATACGAGGAGGATCTCTGCCGTCATCCGCATTTTCAGTCTCTGCGACGGTGTTCTTGTCCTTACCTCCAAGATGGATGGGGTTGTTCCAAGCAAGGGAGTTATGTAGAGCTCCAAAAAAACATCTCCCACCAAATAGTGTCCACATTGCTCTCGCCTTTTATTCTCGGCCGAATAGTCACGAGATCCTTCAGCATTATCGAGACCAATAGGTATTGGGTCGGCCGCAGAGTTGAATGCAGCAACTTCATAATCATCATCAATGACAATGGGGTTTTGCGGAGTCCCAGGCGAATGGGCAGGTTCCAAATAAATAAGGATGGGGTTGGCCATCTAGCCTAGAGGGGCATGATCCAAACCGCTAACGACATTGGGTTCTGCGGAGAACCAGGTGAAGGACAGGTGACTTGAAGGGGTGATTCATGAGCAAAGTCCCGAATCTGGATATGGTCCAGAGCCAGTACTTCATCAGCCATGGTGACTCCAATTTTACTGCACGCTCGGTATAAAGAAAGGCAGGTAGAAGTAGAATTGAACACAAAGATTGATTGCAATCTAACAATTTTAGACAGTTATGTACCATCAACAAAGGAGTGAAGGCGCTTTTATATTTCCAACCTTGTCAGATCCAGAGCAACATGCTATTTTAAGCATAAGCTAGAGGTGTCCATGCAGCGCTCCTGGCGGTTCGAAAATAAGAATTGTAGACTGAATACTATCGACTGGACAAAGGATGCTTGTGTCTCCCGTGTCCCGTGCCTGGCCCTGCTGTCGTCTCGGCCATGAGGCAATGCCCCTGCATCCAACAAGGCCTGTGCACCAACCAAACCCATGTCCAGTACATACGAGGCGAAGCTGGATAGTTGTCTCCATGGTCGTTCCAAACATTCGGCAATGCCGGTCACAAGGTGAAGTTGGCAGCGCATCCACATCTTCAACTGGTCCTTCTGTGCCAATCGATTCCATGCCTGATGCAGGCCAGGAGGCGAATCGGTGATGCCGGTCGAGGTGAAGTGGGCGGCGCATCAATATCTTCGACTACTGGTCTATCTGCACCATCGATTCCATGGCTGACACAGGCCAGGAGTTGAGGTGTTGATCCCATGGACTGCCCGAGATATTCAAAGTTGTCCGTCAGAAAGTTGGTGACATCAGCATCTTTAATCGGTCCCTCTGTACCAATCAATTTCTTGGTTTTCAGTCCAACGCAGACCAGGACACGAAGATGGATTGCTATCCTCGCCGACTATTCTCAATATACAGAACGCTGGCCAAGAGTGACGCATGTAGTCTTTACCAACCACTCCAGATCTCTAATGAAAGGAGCGTGGATAAATCCAAAAATGGAATGTGGTGGATCCTGTCGTACCGATACACAAAACATCTGATGAAATGCGACAGCCAGGATTAGACAAGCAATCGGCAATAGTATGCACGTAGACACAAGAGCATGACATGACAATATCCTCACCCTTAAACAGGATGCCTGCGATGCTGAGTATTTCTGTATAGTCCACTCTGAAGTTTCATATTCTTTTTTCTCTGAATACGATCTAATAAAGTTGCGTGAATCCGTCATAAGTGAGGCTCGATCGGCGGGAAATGATGGGTACAAGGATGGTCACGACGAGAACGGACGACCATCCGATTCGCAAGGCATCACAGTATCTCAAACATCACTCGTTATTAGTAGGATCCTTGAGCATGAGTGAGTGGATCATATTGGAAGGCCGCACTGGCAACAGCCTCCATGATGATTACGACCTCGGACAACGAAAAGGCGGTGGCGCAATGAGGGGGGTAGACGAAGGATCAATAGCAAAAATGCCTCACCAGAATCATTCGGGCAGCGCGGGAACAAAGTGAAAGGAAAACAACAGGAATTGGGTCGAAGTTGAAGCAGCGATGGAAGGCATTTTTATAGAGCACGCACGGTGGTGCCAAGCGGCAATGGGACGCTAAACCCAAATAGGAAGGCTATACCGCTTCAGGTAATTCGCCGTCACCCAAGAGTACGTAGTTCGCGGAAGGCGAAAATATAAATAGTATTATCTCCGGATTGGGCTTTTAACCTTCCATCTACCATGTTACACTACCCCGGAACCACCGATCCATAAAAATCTCATCTTCCATCAACGATCTTTACATCGACTGCATAGTTTCGATCCCCGCACACATATAATGGGTTTCGACCTCTCCGCCATCACTCCCGGACCAGGTGGCACAGTGATGCTCGGCGAAGGCAGCGGAATCGAGGCTGCCGCCCGCCGTGGCCGGGAACGCCTTCGACGAGAAGCCTTGGAAAGAGAACAAGCCGGTGCCACAAAAAATACGATGTCCGAATCCACATTGGTCCCGGGCTCGGAACCGAACAAGGCAGCCAACTCTGAGCAGAAGAAGGACGGGTCGAAAGAATCGGGTCGTGGCGGAATAAAAAGTAGATGGCGTGAATGGTCTCGGAGACATATGCCTTGAATGCTATGTTTTGTGTGTGTGTGTGTGTGTGTGTGTGTGTGTGTTTTTTTTTTTTTTTTTTGCCTCTCGGGGATTTTACCTTCTGTTTCTATCCGATTATGATATCCTGACGAGTGACGAGCCTATTGTTGAAGT